ATACATTACATCATCTGGACCGCTCGCTGAAAATACATGTGAAACCAACTTTTCGGATGCCTCCCAATCTCACGGTTCCTCATCCACACTGGCTCATGAAATGGCTCGTGAATACATCTCGCTCTCTCTCTCTCCCTCTCTCTCTCTCTCTCGTGCGACCTTCTCTAAGCCTTGTTAGTGCTATGTATTTTCTTTTGTTAAGGCAACCCATGTTGTGATGGTAGAAAGTACAACAAAATAGGAGGCATGTGTTGCGACTCGCGAGAAAGCTCATATATATGGTATACAAAGATGAATGGGCCTATATATTGCATACCAAAAGGAGCTCGATTGAACCCACGTGCTAGGTATAATGAGAGAAACATGGCTTCCAAAAGAGTAGATGTTAGTGGAGTATGTAGAGAGAGATAAATGAGATAACATAGGACAAGAAAATAGATCTCCAAACACATCACAAAAAGAGTTACATCAAATAGATCTCCAAGAAACCATTGTGTTAAGAATCAAAAGAGAGAGTAAGCCATCTAGCTACTCCCTATGGACCCTTAGGTCTATGGTGGACTAATCACGCATCATCGGAGAGGCACCAATGAGGATGATGAACCCCTTCGTGATGGTGTTAGATTGGATCTCGTGGTTCTGAAACTTGTAGAGGCTGGAATTGTGTTTCGTCGACTCTGCTAGGGTTTCTAGAATATTTGAGAATTTATAGGGCGAAGAGGAAGTGCAGGGGGCTACATGGGGGGGCACAACCCTCCTGGGCGTGCCCTGGTGGGTTGTGCTCCCCACGGGCCTCCCCTCTGGTACTTTTTTTGGATTGCTGTAGGAAACGTTTGGAGGGGGGAGGGATGGCTCCTTCCCGTTTTCTTCTGCACTGAGCTGAAGATGCGCGATTTAGAAGAGTAGGTTGCTTTCTTTTGGTTCTCTTGTAAGACTTGGTGATTTCTAGTAATGGAAATCGGAGAGATGATCTCTTTTTTATATAAAAAAGAAGAAGTTTAAACTTGTCTGTCGTTTATGTGAAATACGATCTTTTGAATATCCGTTGGTGATCTTTTTGTGATCGGAATGTGTATTTCTATCTCCGATTCTATGTTTGTGTGATGATTTATGTTGTTTTTATCTGTGTTGCATGCTTAATATGGATATGAGATACCGGATATTAGATAAATGAACATGGACGATATGATTTGAGAAATGTCCAGTTAGTACCGGCGTTCGAGGGCCCGGATTTACAGGTCGCGGCTGTAGATACTCTAGGCTCTAGACAACTGGTCAGATCCACTTCGCCCGTTAAGGAGCAACCTAACGATGTTAACGGTCGCTAAACCCTTACCGGGTCTCACTGGATAGAGTCGAACGCTCGCTTCTCCCCCTTCCTGCTACCGCTCACCAGCGGCGCATTCCGCGAAGAAGAGAGGGGCAATGGCCATGGCCGCCGCCTCCCCGTTCCTCCTCCTGCAACCTCTAGCCCCCAAGCCCCATCGTCCTCTCGGCCCCCTACACCCCAGCCTCCTCCGGACCCGCCTCCTCCACTGCTCGCCCAACGGCGCCGCGGCGCCGGAGCCCCCTCCTAAACCCACCCTACGCCGCGGGCGGAAGAAGGCGTCGGAGCCGGGCTCGTCGCCGCCCAAGGCGAAGGCGACGAGGCGCAAGACCAAGAAGGCGGGACAGGACTCTGACTCGGAGGGCGAGGAGGAGCCGGCTGTGAAGCCGAAGACCCGCCGGACCAAGAAGTCCCCGAAGCAGGAGGCCAAGCAGCAGCAGGGGGAGGAGGATGCCCAGGCGGAGGAGCCTCGGAGTCCGGCCCGCGAGGAGGACAACGGCGACGACGGGGCGGATTTGCCGTACGAGTGGCCGCCGTTGGTGTGCTGCTTCGGGGCGCCGCGGTGGGAGTTCGTGCCGACGGTGCGGGTGTCGGACCAGCAGATGCACCCGGACCAGTACTCCACGTGGCTGCACCTGCAGTGGGAGCCGCCCGAGTTCGCGCGCTCGCCCGGGAGCGCCTCCAGCAACGTGGCCATCGCGCTCACCCGGCTCGGCGGCCGCGCCGCGGTGCTCGGCAAGGTCGGCGACGACGACTTCGGCCACGAGCTTGTGTACCGCATGAACCGCGAGCGGGTGCAGACGCGCGCCATCAGGTTTGACGGTGCCGCGTCCACGGCCATCGCCCGGATGAAGGTGGGGTTCAGGGACAGCGAGGACGGCAATGGCGGGACAAGTCTGGTGGCCGAGACGGTGAAGAGCTCTGCCGAGGACTCGCTCCAGAAGGACGAGATCAATGCAGATGTGTTGAAAGAGGTGAGTGCGTGATCTTGTGGTAAAAGATTAGTTTGAATCTCCATGGGCGAGCTGACATTTATGGGCAGGCTATGCCTCTATGTCGATGGTTGCCAATGTGCATTGTTGCATTGCATTGAAACAACTCTTGATTATACACAAAACTAGAATCATTTTTGTCAAACCACGTAGCATGGACTGCTCGTTTTGTTTTTTGGGTTATCTTCGATCAATTCCTGCTAAAATATCCAACTGACGCTCCATTTGATGGTACTGCTGCAGCTTAACTGCTTAAGTGATAAGCGAGAAAAGCATTCTGATAAGAGCAAAAGCCCATTAAATACCATATCTCAAGTGCATTTGGCTTGCTGCTAATTTAGATATATTTTGGGAGATTTGTTTATAAGTCCTAAATCAAAGATAGGTCGTGGGAAGAAATTGATTAATCATTTGATTGTGCCAATAGTCCTTTCTGACTAAGCAAGCAAATATTTGCGTAGGCTTCTTGACCACAGGAGTATGATTGCTGGGAATAGTCTTTATTGGGTAGCAATCAAATGCAAGGAAGCTGAAGTGAAGTGGCACTCTTATATTTTGTCTATTGCACTCCACTTTAGGAAAGAAAAATTAATCTGTCTGGATCCCCTTTTAAGCAATGTTTCCCCTATCATCGTAGCAGAAACATCTTCCATGCTGCTCTAACTATTCAATTGCATTGCTCAGATTCATGCCCTTGCTAAAATGTAAAAAAATAAAATTAGAGTATGTGTTTTGTGTTGTTAAGTTTACTTTTATCCTAGCAAGTGACTTTATGAGTGGTCGAGAAGCTACATTATATACCATTTATTGTTATAAACACAAAATGAATTTCAGATCTAATATGTGATAATTGCACAGGCCAGAATGTTGCATTTCAATTCAGAAGTGCTGCTGACGCCGTCAATGCACGACACACTCTTCAGAGCCATTGCGCTGTCCAAGAAATTTGGAAGCAAAATATTCTTTGACCTCAATTTGCCATTGCCTTTGTGGAGGTCAAGGGATGAGACAAAAGAGTTCATAAATAGGGCATGGAAGGAGGCTGATATCATAGAGGTGTCAAGGGATGAGTTGGAGTTCCTCCTTGATCACAAGTATTACGAATATAAGCGAGCCACCCCGCCTCAGTATTATTTGGATGGGTTCCATCTAACAAGGAACTGGCCACAGTACTACCACTATACCCCTGAAGAAATTGCTCCGATTTGGCATGACGGAATAAAACTCTTGCTGGTGACCTATGGAACACTTCGGATCCACTACTACACACCCAAGTTTCATGGCTGTGTGGTTGGAACGGAGGATGCACTCATAACTCCAACCACAACTGACCGGACGGGTTCTGGTGATGCTATTGTTGCTGCTGCTATTAGGAAGTTGACAACTTGTCCTGAGATGTATGAGGACCAGGATACATTGGAAAGGGAGCTAAGATTTGCTGTTGCTGCTGGTATCATTTCACAGTGGACTATTGGTGCCGTGCGAGGGTTCCCCACTGAAAGTGCTACCCAGAACTTGAAGGAGCAAGTATATGTGCCTTCTATGTGGTGATTGGTGAGCTAGTAAATCATTTCTGATGAAGGAGGCAGAAATTTATTTTGCGAGCGTGATTCATGAGTGGTGCAGCAGAAGTGAACAGGGATACTATTTTACCACAAAAGTTGACAGGTACCTTTGTCTACCAGTTCATCAGATATTATTTTATCATCCAATTTCTATCATAACAGATTTAAACTTCAGTAGGAAAATGTGCCCGTGAAGAAAGACTTATATTGCCTGATGATTTTTTTATTGTACTCCCTCTGTTCACTTTTATAAGTCCTTGGAAGACATTTCAGACAACATGCAAAGCAGCCTATTTTCGGTTGTCTGAAATGACTTATAAAAGTGAACGGAGGGAGTATATCAAATACATAGTGATACCTTATATGCTACTGTTAAAGCCACCTCTTTTTTACTTTTTTTTGTTTAATGCCTATCCACTAAGCATAACTGATATGCCACACAGCAAGCCACAGAGGAATATAGAAGTTTAATGCGAGGAAGTACCTGCAATATATCTGATGACAGACAAAAAATGCTACAACAGAATTCAATCATTTCAATAGCAGCTAAAGGAAAGAATACATCAAATGAACAAGGTTATTTTCTTATTATTATTATTCATCACTTGCCGGTTACAACTTGGTCTGTAGCTGATAAATATTGCATATACACAAATCTATCCTGAATAAAGTCGATACTTCCTAAATGAATACAAAATTTTAAAAAAGAGAGCAAAGACTGTACATTCACAGTATAAACGAAGTACAAACATGTATCGGAAGTCTTTTGTCTTGCTAATCCTATCCTCTGTTGTACATATGTCCTCTGAAACTACTCGAAATCTCTTTGTCTTCCAATCCATCGCTACACTTGAATAACCAATTTGTTGAAAATGCACTTCTCGGAGGACAATTAGTGAACCTCTCTTTGCCACCTCCATATGCAAGAACGAGTATTGCATACATAGTCTGGAAAATAATCTGTGGTATGTTGCTGTCAGATTACTAGGAGTTGCACTATTTGGTTTATCTCAATCATCCTAAGAGATGTCTACCTATTTCCATTTCACATCTCACATGCAGCGAAGAGGGCTGAAATATCCCCAGTCCCCACCTCTTTAGAGTAAGTCCACGTCGCTAAATCCTTTGTGTTTTTTTGCACAAGCACCCTGGGAGAGGATTTGCATAAAAATGCTCCTCTTGCCTGGGACTGTGACCAGACAACCTCTGATATGGACCTCCAAGTCTGTTTTCATGATGTGTTTTCACTTTGCTTTGAAAGTCATTCCAAGTAATTGTACCCTCATCAAGCTTGTCAATGAGCTCCACAAGCTTCTGCCTGTGAACAGTTAAAGAATTAGCACGTAGAGTTGAGATGTACTAATAACTTAAAACAGCATTCCCATGAATGTACCTGTCAGGGTTAATGGTTGTCCGGAATCCTTCAAATCTTCTATGACCCTGTACTGCTTTGGCCATATTTCCGTCATATGTATACACAAAAACATCACTGTGGAGGGCTACATTGTAGTCCACTGCAGCTAATCTGTTTTGGTACGGCTTGAGGGGCTCTAATTCATCTACTGTTGCTAGACTATAATGTGTGTAGACATTTGGATATGCGGCCTTTAATTCGTCCATGCTATGCCCACCATATATTTCACCTGCTACAATGTAGATATTTGTCGTGGAAGGATAGCCCATAGCTTTAAGAAAAAGAGCTGCTTCACGAGGAGTCATAGGGCAGCCTCCTTGAAGTCGCCTCTCCTTGCTGTTAATTTCCTTTTCTTTCCAGTGCCGCACCTTGAGTCTCATTTCTCTCAGCTCTTCTGCCTCCTGACGTGTTAGATTATGGCTGCAGCCAGTAAATGAGAGCATGTCCTTCTCATATCTGTCAGTTGATAAGGAAAACAAATATATTACTGAGCTACATATTGCTCTGCAGCGAAATTATATTAGATTTATTAAACATGTGCAGTTGCGGTCACCTTAAATGAAGTGCGATATAATGGTTGGACCCATTCCTCAGTCTATCAACTAGAGTATTACCTAGATCTTCAATTTCTTTCTTGTATTTTAGTGCCTCGTAATTCGTTCGGCAGCGGAGTTGTTGGATATGAGGAGCAAGACCGTTGTTGACAATTCGTGAATCTGTATGTGTGAATTTAACAACTTTGACCTTCTTTAGTGTCCTCGTGAAAGCTCTGTAGTAAGAAGCCTGCAAAAAGGAATTAGAAGTCCATCATCGTTCAGCTATAGAACTGTCCTTATTTCTAAGCAACTACAATGTCAGCTTGAGTAGTTCCTGGAGTAGTTTGTTCATACCCTGGACCAGGAAGATGGTGCCCTCATATAGAGTTTCGACCTTCTGTAAGCTGGTGGCAAGGAGTCCACAATCACAATATCATTCTCTAGAGTTTTCTTGAAATGCTCCACATCAAATATATCTTCGAAATCACTGCATGCCAAAACCAAAAACATCAGTCATCGGAATAGTTTGATAGGATCCTTGTTATTGTTATGAAGAGAAGTACCTTGGATCGGTCCAAAATGATCTGTGATCCAGTGTAGGGATTACTAGTGTCGCATTCATGAGCTTAGCAACTGCAACCATATCGCTTATCTGCGAGGATGATTTCAAACGAATGTATGAGAACTGAGGCATCTTCAGACTCTAAATTTAGTCTTTCTAGAAGAAAAACATGAACGTGCACTCACTCCCATTCTCATCTGGTTCAGTCCACCATTGGCATCAACCATTATATAACCAGCTGTTGCATTGTTTGTTCCTGGAAAAAAAGCATCGCGATTTTGGTCAAGTTTACACGCTCATTTCAGGGTAGTATTAACTTGAAAGGTTGAAGGTCGTTAGTTCAAATTGTTGGATGTGGAAGTGGGGACTTACTGTGGTGGTTTCTCGGGCGTTCGATGCATTTGCTGTAACCCTCGCTAGCCGGCATCGTCCATATATTGGGAATCTGTTTGTGTTCTCAGTGAACTTCAGTACTACAGAGCTAGCTGATCATATCATTTGAACAAGTATTTGCTTTTCATGCATGAACAACAAAAGCTAGCTAAACAAAACTAGACGGTCCAGATCGCAGCTGGGAACATCATTATCTTTTTTCTAGAGAATGAACATCGGTATCTGACTAACACCCATTCTGCTACATCATTTTCAGGTACAAGGACGCTTTAATCAGCGTGTAACACAGGCAGCGAGCCACGCTGCATACTGTCCAATCAGCGGGGAACTCTTTTGTGCGAGTGTTTCCAGTCACAGAAGCACTATTGTAGCACTTCGTGGGGATAGGATTGATTGATGTGAGACTCCCACTTCTTTTTCTCCTTTTTCTTTTATATTTTCTCTTTGTAGACCGGAGAGAATGCAGCACTCCCGTTCTCTTTTCCTAGAAGCTTATGTAGAGGTTTTGTAGAGTAAGCAACCCTAGGAACCTCCAGTGTTATGTTCATTTGCAGAACTCGGCGCCTCTGCTGGTCATTTCTATCTTTAATCTCCATGGCCCTTTTTTTTAAACTGCTTTACACCACCCTCTCGGATCGGAAATAAGTGCCGTGGTTAATTTGAAGTAAAGCCACGACACTTATTTCCGATCTCGGCGACAGTAGAAATTGACAGTATGTTTCTACAAGTGTCGTTGCAAGCGAGCGAATCCCGGTTCTGGGAACCTCAACTTGAGCATCGACATTACCCATGGCCTTAAACCACCGGGAACCACTCCCCGGATCGAGTTGAATTTTCCAACGGGGTGACCACCAAACGAATCATGAATACACAGGAAAAAGGAAGAAACAGCGATGTGGATGAGAATACCGGTATACGGCCGCACACAGACGAAACGAAAAGAAGGGGCGCTCGGTATTCATCCGTCGACAGAGACGCCGACGCCGACGGGGACGCTGCCCCTGGAACCTCTGAAGGGTATTTTGTACGTACTACTCGTCTATCTACTCGCTCGTTTTGATTCTACGGCAGGAATACAACCATGCTACTGCTACGGCCTGAGCTGATGGCTGTGAACGGCTGAACGCCCGCCAAGAAACTTCTCAAATCCTCTTCTCCTCTCTTGCGTGCACGCGCACGCACGGAGACGGAGACGAGGGCCCGGCACGCCTCTGGCTCCGCCGTTCGGCGACGATTTCCCACCCGTTTTTGGCCCCATGCATGCACGGCGCGGCGCGCTCCCAAACGGAATTCGTCCCAGCTTTCCCGTTTTAACAAAACCAAAAGTGCTACTATAGTCTATACTAGTGCATGCGGTGCGTACACATGTGTGCTCTGGTTTTTAGCTTGTTTTTTCTGCAGCGAACTTGGCGGTAACAATAAGCCGCGCGGGCAGCGGCGAGGCGCAGCACTTACCGGCGTGTCGGGCGACCGGCGGGCGAGGGCCGTCAGGTTCTCCTCCCGCCAGCCCAGCGCCTCCCCGTCCACCCTCCGCAGCAGCCTCCCGCCGTCGCCGTCGCCGCCGCCGCCGCCGCCGACGGCCCGGTGCGAGCCGAGGAGCCCGACGAGGACGAGGAGGCCCAGCAGCGACGCCACCGCGTTGCGCACCCACGCCTGGTCGACCACGGACGACGCCCTCTTGCCGTAGCTCCTCCGGACGGAGAACAACGCCCGGACCCCGCGGTGCCTGACGCAGCCGTCGCCGTCGTCCGGCCGCTCGACGTCGGTGAGGCGGCGCCGGTGCGCCACGGACGACGAGGACGGGTCGGGGCCGACGGAGGACGCCGACGCTGCCGCCGCCGCCACTGCCATGGCCGGCCGGCCGAGGCGCGGGCTAAGAATATAGGAGCCTGATCGATCGGTCGGTCGGTTGCGATCGGCCCGGGAATCAATCGGACGCGGGTGGACGCCTCGCTAGCTGCTTTGCCCTCGCCGCAAGCCTCCGTCCGTGCGTCGCCGCCCGCCGCCCGCCGCGCGCGCGCCCACGCGAGCGAGCAACTGCGCCCGGAGAACGTGGGGGGCGAGGTGGGGGATTCGGTTCGCGCGAGGAGAGGAGAGCAGTCGTGCGTTTCGCGGCTCGGCTGGAGCTCGTGTGGGCAGGGGAAGTTAAAAGTTGCGCGCTGGGTGGAGTTCGCGCCTCGGGCGATGGATGGATCCCTCGCTCGCCTCGCACGCTCCATGGCCTGGCCGCGCACGCCGTTTTATATCGATCGCCTTTCCGGCAGTGGCGGAGCTTGACAAGAATCTATGGGGAGGCCAATGACCAAAAAAAGAAAAACTAACCAACGGCAACAAATCAGAACTTGTAGCCTTGAGGCAAATTTATACTTATTATTACTCATATTGTTCACAAAGTACACATATGATTAGCAGTAAATATACTCCTTAAGAGAACTAACTACATCAAAATATACAACTTGTCTACTTATCTACTACCACTATAAAAGAAAGAGAGGGCGGAGAACCAGATCATCCTATCCATCGAAACCTGCAATCTGATGGTCTACATCCCTCCAGCATACTAAACGCGTTTTACGCTTTAATTACCCACCATGCCATCTACTATCTACTACTCCTATAAAAGGAAGAAAGGGGCAGATCCAAACAATCTGCACCGTATAATTCTCAGATTTAGCGTCCCAGATTCATTCCATGTTTAACACCAAGCCACTAACCACGTCTTATCGCTAAACGATTTGGGTGCCGAAAAATAAATCCCGTCCCGTCCCGATGCCCTCGCCCCACCCACGCCACCCTCGAGGCTGTAACCTCCCCTGCCTCTTCCCCGTCTCACCTCGCCGCCGATACACGCCCCAACCGCCATGCCTGCCCTCCCAAACATCGCCGCCGTGCGCATCATCGCCGCTGCACGCACGCAGCACCTGACATCACCGGGAACACAGCCTGTCCAACTGGAGTTCCCACCGACCGCTCCACCGTCGGCCTGACTGTACGTCAGGGCGCTCGTCGCCGGCGAGGCACGCGGGACCTGCTGGTGCCGTTGGGGACTTGGACGCACGCGGGGTGGCGGCCGCTGGCGAACGTGGCCGCGCCTCAGATCGGGGCGCGCGGCAGCCCAACGACCTCTCTGCTGCCGCCTCCGCCCTCCTACGGCTGCTCCATCCATGGGTACCTAGCCACCATGGCATCTCAATCCCTTCTTTTGTTGTTTGTTTTTCAGATTAATACGGATAGTTGTATGCTATTGTGGATAACCCAATCCCTCTACCTCTCATTTCCTTCGTCTGTTGTTTGTTTTTCAGATTAATATGGACATGTTGTATGCTATTGTGGATAACCAAATATAGCAAAACTTTGGCCTCCTTTTCCTGTAGTTAGGCGACTTCAGGAGCATAGCAACACAACGGGAAGGTAAGCAACGAAACTTCAAATGTATGAGTTGCTTGGACTGCAAATGCTTGGACTACAAATTTCTGAAATCCTCACTAATCAGGAATTCAATATGTCCTCATAAAATTTCAGGAATCCTGATGGCAACTGTTTGTATGTGTGCCTAAACGTCTATGCTGGTAAATTGTTGGTTAGAGAATCCAAAATTGGTTTGCTTGTTCTCTGAGTATAGATGACCGTTTTAGTGTTGAAATTTAGATCTTGGCTATTGGTTTACAGTTTGCTGCCAATTTCTTCTGTGTTCACACCTTGTGTACATCCAATACAACGAGCAGTGAATCAGCTTTAGTTATAGAAACATATATCATGTGCTTTTTTTAGAGATTTGATCTGGATAAGTGAGGGCCTTGGGACACTAATGAAACAATAACAATATCTAATATCTGGTGGATTGTCTTCTGCAGGAATAATGAATATGACTAACCCATTTCTAGAATCTGCAGCATCACTAAAACTCTGAATCACATTGGCCTGTGCATCAAGTTTCAGGAAAACATGATGAGGTAAATAGAGAAACTTTCATGGATATTAGATGGCAGTTACACATACAACATTATTATTCTATCATAGCCTAAATAATTGGATTAAAGTTTAGCCCTTTTGGAAGAAGAATAGGGATGATAGTAGGATTGATTTCTGATGTTAGAACTACTAATCTTAAAGTTGTTGACTGCCCTTTAATAACAACCCACACCTTCGCTATGGAAAACATATATTTGTTACCACATAGTAATAAAAATGGTGTGCTTTAAACATGGTTGCTGCAAAACACATAAACGGAGATTGCACTGAGACACACATATATGAATTGTGCACATTGGTCTCGGGCTACAATTTGAGTGCATGCGTTGCTTACGATGAACTGCTGAAACTCTTGCTTTCTCTCTATTCTGATGATAGAAGCAATGGCACATAGCTCACACTCCACTTTTATTTGTGTTATTGTGATATTTTTCTTTTCATCGAAATCTTGACTTTGGACATATTTGTTGTTTTTTTATATTGGTGCGACCTTGTCCGCCTTATATTGTTTGGTGATTACAATATAAATTCCCCAGATAGTGCAAAAGTGGACAGTTTAGCCATTGAATAGTAATTATTCTACTGAATTGCAATGAAACACTCTTCGTACTTCTTGGACTACTACATGGCATGATCCTGAGCGTTATTACCTTGCTGCTGCCTCATGGAATTTCTTGTGCGCCACACTGCATGATCCTGAGGTTAGCCTCAACATAGTTTTATGATTTTCTTTTTTGTGCCTTTGGAGCTCTTGTTTTTTTATGCTTTTATTTTCCATGTTTCGCAAACGATCAACCCAAATAGGTAATTTTTGTTTTACTGCTTTAGGAGTACTCGCTATGTGTCAACGGATAACTGAAGTCTGGTTGCGTCTATGAACACTTGGAGATTTTGTAGTACTTTTTCCCAGGAGATAAGCTAGCATGAGTAATAGATGACCAACAGTAACTAATTGCATTTTTTGCTTGATGGCCTTATTGTCTTGTAGGAAGGCCTCTGCACCCCCTCCCGACAATTGACACGCTGCATCTCACCTGGCCACCCCGCATCCCCTTCTAAGATTGCTTCTCCCATTGAGAGTGAAACTGTTCTATGAAATTTGAGATGTATATACATTCAGATGAATGCAGTTTCATCCATTGTTGAAAGAAATGTGATATCCAATTTCAGGTTTTCTGAAGCCACGATCAGCTGGGGATTGGATAGCAGAAGCATGGCGTGTATAAGATCTGAACATTGAAGACATGCAATGCAGCTCAATGGTATGCCTTCCTCGGTTCCTTGTAATCTTTGAAGCCTAAATTCTGAACTGTTTTTTTATACAAGCCTAAATGTTCTTACGTGTTACTGCGTTTGTACAAGACAACATGAGTACAACTTCTACAAAAGTATTTTGGACTGTTTTGTGTGCATCGGGCAACGCATACATTAAGCTGTCGCCATTGCCCATCATCTCATAAACTATTATGGGAAGTATGGTTTCGTTTTATCCCATATATCAGTATATTAAGTATGTTACCTTCTATATAATGTTGGTGATTTGTCCATGGAAATATTTAATTAAACAATGTTTATCTTCTGCATCTTTTTTATATCTTTTTACCATGACAGGGATGGAGCTCTCGGCGATGTGGAGCTCAATGTCTTTCAGGTTGTTCTATACAGTGTTATTAGTGTTTTAATATATACTTATTTGCATAAGAAGTTTGCATATGTTAGTTATTCCTCTCGTCAAAGGAAATATCCTCCCTTCAATACAATAAATAAATTCAATGTTCATGCGCTAAATGAAAATCGTTAGTTCATTATTACTACATTATTATCAGCTATTGATTTTGTAGTATTTATTAATTAGTAGTGCTTCACTAGGATGAACATGTATTTTCTTCTCCGCAAAAGAATGATTTTTCAATGGATTTTCCGGGCTGTTTATTTTTCAGAAATTGTGACCTGCTGAATCCTTTTTCCCTTACTGCACACATGCACATCATTTTAATTTTGTGTGCACTTCCCAACTTGTTAGTGCCATCGTACCATGTTTGTTAGTCATGCTTTACTTATTATTTGGGCACCTTGGGGTAGCATCTTGCCAATGTTTGTTCAGAATGGTGAATACATGTTCAAAAGCACTCGAAATCATATTACCTTTCATTATGTTGGAAGGAAAAAACCTTTAAAACTGGATATATGTTTCTTTACCCTGGAAAAGCACCAGTTCAGCAGTTGATTTTTCCAAATGCATGTCCTCAGCATAGTAGTTTTGCAGGATATAGGCAACGATCGATACTTGATAGAAGACATGACAAGGCTCCCTGACTTACATGCTTGCCCCTGGCTGTGATGTCACACGGACATTGCTTTGGCGCCAGCTCATTCCACATTCTGGAAGTGTGCACTGGTGTAAGAACGCTGACACTTAAAACTATCCTTAATTTGTTTATATCTTTGTAAAGCACTTATAATGCTTGAGTTATCAGGTTAGTGACATAAAAACAATACGCGCTTGCACTTTCAGGCATACCTAGACTTGATTGCCAGTTTCTCTACTCTAGGTGTTGGTTTAATACTAATACCTTGTCTTCAAACTTTAACCGTGGAAATTCTATGGCTCGTGTAAGTGCTAATACTTTCATCTTCAAGTTTAGCAAAGTGACGTACTATTTTCTAATGTATGTGAGGATATATGGTGCTTTATTTCCTGGCAGGCTCAATCTTGATGACACAATTAGAGTAAGTACTTGGAGAAAATTTTATTAGTTACGATATCTTTTTAAGAGGTTTCATTGACAGTGAAGTCCAAAGGTAGAGCTGAACATTATCACGCTTAAGAATTTATGTGACTTCTATAATAGTGTTTGTCGTACCAGCTCTTTTACAGA